CAGAGGTTCTGCAGCAGGTAGGGAAGCTAAACTTCGCAGAGTGGAGTGATCTCAGAAATGGGAGCTGGGAGACCAAGGGACAAGGGGGAAGCGGCAGAATGAGAAGACCAAACACTGAATTGTGGCGCTAAAATAACAGAAGTCCATGGCGGCAAAAGAAAAGGTCACATGATGTTCCCTAGGCTCGGTGTGGAAGAGCAGGGAAGGACACGTTATCCCTCGCTAACACTGCCACGAAAAGTGATGCACTCTCTTCCACACGCTGATAGGCGAATGGGGGTACGTAATGCTTCCCAGTATGTGAAACACCCTGCTCCAGTGATGTTCACGGGGCTGTCACGGAGGTGGCCATGTGGAGAGTCCCTGGATGAAGGCTGAAAGACACAGTGTTTTGACTGTGGTCCTCATTATTCGGGTTCTGGAACATTAATGTCAGTTCTAGATTTAGTTCCTGGCATAGAATTGCTGCTTTCCTCCCAAGTCTCTTTTGTTCTGATCAGGCGTCTCACTTTGAGGCACTCCGAAAACACGTGCTTAAAAGGCAATTGGAATAAAACCCCTGACCGGGTGCTGGGTGACTCTGCCCCTGAGACCCTCTGACTTCCACGTATCTACAGGGGGACTGGGGGGCATAAGGTTGTCCTGACCATGCTACAAGGTGTATCGAGTCCAGTGCCTTGCCCAGGTACAGCAGGCAATTATATGACCTACAGCCGAGTAGCTTACAAGTCAGGAACTCACTCACTCACCAGTCAAGCCTTAACAATAAGAACCAACTTCAGTGACTGGAGGCAGAATATAATTCCTCCACGGGCCTGGAGATGTGCACTGCCACCACATCAGGGGACCAGAACAGGGCACTGCAATGAGTGACTTGGCAAGCAGAGGATGTGGACTCTGCCAACAAGAATGCTTCAAGGGCAGCTTCAAGCAGCTTAAGGTCCAATGAAAGCACGAAACTAATTGTCAAAAATCAATATCCACCTTCTAAATGATCCTCAACCATAAAGCAAGCCTCTGAGAACTCGGCCTTAGGGGCCATTCTCCTCCCTTAACTCCAGGGAGTGCCATCTGTGTCACGCTTCCCACAGGCAAGTACTAGTGGAGGGCTGCCAATGTTTTATTTTGCCAAGTAAAGACTGAAAAAACTCACTCGCATCAACTATCATCACTACTTCATCAGGAAAACCTCTTCTTTTTCCTTCCTACTCCTAGACAGACTCTCTCGGACTTTTTCCTGCACCCCTCTGGCCAATTGCATCCTAACTACTGGACTTTCTCACGCCTCAGTCCTGGATCCTCTTCCTTTCGCGGTGTATTCTCTCTCCCAAGGAGGACAGAGCGGAGTGGGCTGACGCCCTGAGTTAGCCGAAAACCTGCACCCACAGACCACTGTTGCCCACGCACCATAGGGATTTATGAGCAAGACAAGGAGCCTGAGAGTGAGGTTTTTCAACCATGGCACCACTTACACTGTGGGCCACGTAAGTCTTCGCTGGGGGCTGTCCTGTGCATTGTGGGACGTTTAGCAGCATCCCTGGCCTCCACCCACTCGATGCCAGCCAGCACCCTCTCTCCAGTCACGAAAACCAAAAATGTCCCCTGGGGGACAGAAATTGCCCCCCTCAATGGATGAGAACCACTGTGAACAGGGGAATGATGGGATGTAACATCTTTTGAAAAGATCGCTCTGTCTGAAAAAAAATTCAAAGACGGCAATTTAAATAAAAAGTCACACAGGGGCTGGCCCCGTGGCTGAGTGGTTAAGTTCGCACGCTCCGCTGCAGGCGGCCCAGTGTTTCCTTGGTTCGTATCCTGGGTGCAGACATGGCATTACTCATCAAACCACGCTGAGGCAGCGTCCCACATACCACAACTAGAAGGACCCACAACTAAGAATATACAACTATGTACCAGGGGGCTTTTGGGAGAAAAAGGAAAAAAATAAAATCTTTAGGACAAAAAAGTCAGACAAATGATGCTGAACTGCACCACCAGTACAAAAATGCACTATTCTCACCAGAGAAAAGCACACGACAACTGAGAAAACATCTCTGCCCATTAGTCTAGTAAAATTGACAAAGAATGATGATATTTAATGATGCTAACAAGATACAGACATCAGGGCTCTCAATCACCACTAGTGGCAGCGTAAAGTGGATAAGTCATTTTGGAAGGTGATTTGGTGGCATCTATCAAAACTTTTAATGTACGTATCTTTAGACTCATACATTTCATTGCTAAGTATCTGTCCAAGGAAACAGTCATTTCTGCAAGGGTGGGGGCCTGTAAATAGATGTGCACTATTTGTGAAAAGGAAAAATTGGAACCATGTAGATGTCCATCCATGGAGGGATGGTTATAACCATTACAGAAGCTCTGCATCATACACTATATAACCACACTTGGCGCAATGTATTTAAGTGTTGAAACAAAAGACTAGAAGATCTCACCCCAACCCATTAATGGTGGGATTAGAGAGGGGGAAGATGGGTGGTCTGTGTTGATTGTGCCTTTGAGAAAAACAACGAATTCATAGATTATTTATTTAATAGAAATAAAGAGGAAAACACACGTGTATGCATGTATATATGTAAATACGTGTTGTATGTGTACATATATGTATAAGCATACATACGCACATGTTTCTAACCCTGGCATATACGTATATGTATAGACATTGTGTGTGCAAATACACACACACAGCCCCGCCAGCAGAACCACTGGTATCCTCACATATTTCTGTTAGTTGTGGAGGAGATTATCTCCCAAATATGTTAAAGACCATATGTGATGGTGTCACATAAACCACACAATTTCTTCAAAACACCTGGAATAGGACAGGTTTTGGTGAGAAGTACAATCTCCCAGTCTCCCAGCAGCTTCTCTGCCCGCTGCAGCAGAGTGTGGATAAAGCGACTGGGGTCACTCACACAGATCAGCTGTTGGGAAATCATGCAGGGATGGCCCCGCTAAGAGATCCCAATCCTCCAGCACGGAGCAGGGGTCCTCAGCCTTGGTGCTAGCGACATTTGGAGCTGGATCATTCTTTGTGTGAGGCTGTCCCCTGTGTACTGTAGGATGCTGAGCAGCATCCCTGGCCTCCACCCACTTAAATCCCCTGGGGGATAAAGTGTCGTCCCGTCGTGTGTCATCCTCGTCGTCCACCCCCACCCCCACACACCCCCGTTGAAAGCCACTGTGCTAGTAGGAAAAGGACAGGAAATGCTTGAGTAAGCCAATCAAGAATGTCTTTACAATGCATCTCTGATTTTTATATGTTGCCAATACAGCCCAGAAAGGCACTTCTGAGAAGCCCCTACTATACCACAAAGGTTGAGACAGTGGGGACAGGACCCTCCCGTGTTGCTGCAGTGCATTTTCTAACAAGGTTCTAGCGATCTTGAAATAATACTTTCACTTAAAAGATACTGATGAAGGACACTGTCCTCCCCTGAATAATTTTCTTAAACGCTCGACTTTTTGCCCAAATGTATTATCTCGACATTTAAAAAGTTACTCACCGTGTACCGACACCATCTCTAGATAACAAAGAAATCACTTGCTATGTTTGGTAAATGTCACAGCAAAACATGTAACAATTACGTTCCTAAGTGCAGCAACCATCTATTTTCTGTGTTTTAATCAGCACAGCAAATTCCAGCACCCACACTATGCAGTTCCAGTAGAAACACGCAAGAATGAGCAGAGGGATATTCAGATGAGACAACAGCCCCTGGTAAATGCCAGCGAGCCCGAGAGAAGGAATGCACGACAGACAGAGACTAGGCCCAGGGAGATAAGCAGCATGGCTTGGCAGTGGGCCACGTGGAAACGCAAAGCCCACCACGAATACATCATGGAAAGCCAAAAAGAATGGGGCATAGAAGCTCTGAGCAAACAGCTCAGTTTGAGCTGGCCCTCTAGCAGGGAGTCATATGATCTGCTTTTGTTGCTATTTTTACATCTTCTAAAAAGACAACAAAGTGGATTTCCAGACATCCATGAATGATACAGTATACTGAGCAGGCCCAACTATTTCGTTCCAGAAAGGACCCCTCACCCCACCTGCCATTTGGCCCCTTCTCTCCCATCCCCCAAGATAACAGGTCATACTGACCAAAGAAACTTTTTTAAAAAGATATGCTTCACAGCATTCCAAAACACATATTTTAAAATAATTTGAAGATTTTCCAGAAGGCACACAAGAGAAAAGTCTCTAAAAAGAGGACATGAAAGCTAGAGCAGGTCAGAATACTGAAAACACGGGCCCTGTGCACATGGGGAGAAATGTGACATGCTAAAAATACCGCGCCTGTGTGAGGATTACGTCCCACCTCCTGGTTTTGCCCATGTTCTGTGGTCAAGACTGGGAGGCAGGGAGGAAAAGACAAATGAAAATGCACAGACAAGGTCAAGTCTCGATCTTCAGCAGGCAGATGATTTACAACGCAGGTCAACAGGAATGACTGCGTTTCAATCATCTCCGTCAAAACGAAACAGACTAGGGACTGCTATCACCTGTTGACCTAATCCTTGTTAAACCGTCTTTTAAACCAAGATACATGGCTTTTCCATTAACCTATGAGTTAGAAGCCACACACATAAAACAGTTCTGCTGAATGGGTCCGAGGGACTGACACTCAGAAGGGAGGAAGGTAGGGGTGAGGTGGGGAGGAGGGGGGGGAGGGAGGGAGGGACTTCTGAATTACCTGAGCGGGTAAGGAAAGCCCACAAAGTCTCTTATTTTTATTAAATCATGTCTTCATAATTGTTTGCAGTATTGAGAATTTCACATTTTAAATGCACTTGAAATTTTGTCATATGTATTAAGAAGCTACACAAATGAAGATGAGGATCCTTTATTTTGTATTCTGTCACACAGTGCTTTCTGATAAAAAGTGGACAACCACACTTTTTATCTGCTGAACTCTGCTGAACCTCCTTCCATGGGAGAAAGGAAGTAAGCAGAAAGCAAGATTTAAAAAGGCGCTTCTTACCTCTTTCTGGCTTCCTCATACTGCCAATTAAGCCTGACTCGGTCTACAAGTCTTGTTTTATCATCAAAGACAAACTTTCCGGAACAGAAGGAAAAAAAAGAGGGGGAAACATATTAAAAACATATTTTCAAACGAGAAAATTCATTTAAACTTTCAGCAAGAATAAAGAATATTTTAATTTGTCTTTCAAGTTCCATTTTTCAAAGGTCTGGAAGGAAACACACCAGATATTACTCGGCTGCCGCCTCTGGCCGGTGGGGGCCAGTGGGGGCTGGCGTGGGGCTGGGAAGGCTTCCGCCTTCCTGACACCGGTGGATTTTTTTTTTTTTTCTTAACAGTGGAAGTGTATTTATCTATTGTGTAATTCCAAACAAAAACAAATTAAGTTTCACCAGAAATAGGGAATTACTAAGTAAAAGTTCATACAAAGGCAAAAAAATTCATCCCATTTTGTGCAGTATATTCTCTAGTTCCTCAATAAATACAAAAGAATGATGTTTTCCTAAGAAATCACAAGATCTGAAGAAGACGGACTAGCTGTGGGAGGTATGGGCTATAGGACTCCTTCGAATGTTACACAGCGTGTTACAGAGCCCAAAGTAAAGGAAAGAAAGAACAGTATGGAAAAGCCTAGAATAGGGGCACACTGCCTGAGGAGTCAGAATCGAAATGCCATGCTCTGACGTGATCACCAGTTGTACTCAATATTTTCCTACCACTTAGATGGAGGTCAACAAATTCCCAAACGAAACAAAGATCTGTGTGGGAGCTGACTAGCTCACCTTCGTTACCTCTTCCCTTCTTTCCTGGAAATAGACAACTTTAGTTTCAATAAACCGGCTCCATCTGTAGATCTGATCTTACTAGCCTGTATGTTACAGCCACTACGTATTTTTTTTTTAAATAACCTCAAGTCAACAAATATTTGAACATATTTTACTTGAATGACTAGTGATGAATTTATTGATATGAGTCTTGACAGACACCAATGGGGAATTTCTTTACATCTTTATTGCCTTGAACGGCAAGATGAAGAAATGCCTTAGGAGGGACTAAGCATTCTCCAATGAGAACACGTCACAGTTTTACACGTTTCAACAGCCTCATCCGATGCCCCTCCCCACAGTCTCCTCAGGATAAATCTATTTAGGCTGCAGCGTCCCATCTCCAGAAACTGTCTACGCTGGAAGTGAGCTACATGCTACCTCATTGCCTTGTTTGTCAGAGAGCCACCCAGCTGACTCTTCAGCAAGATGTTATTTCTTCAACCTCTTCTCAAACTGTTTATAGAACACTCTAAGCTTTGTTTTTACACTCTTCTTTGAGAATAAAATAATGTTTTAGTCAAAAAAGAAGAAACCTATAGCCAAACAGATCCAACAGGTTCCTGCTTCACAGATCCTATGTAGCCTTACAGCATGCACCCTAACTGCTAAATTCCAGTGTCAGGCCTTGTACTGCTCACAAGTCTGTGCTTGCACAGTCCCAGGCTTAAAGAGCATGTCTGATTACATCAGCACCCATCCCACAAAAGTGACTTGAAGCAATAACTAAGTGAGGTAGGCAGACATACAAGATGGCCTTCAATGGTCTCCACCTCCGGGGAGTCACCCCATGTGAAATCCCCTCCCCTTGAGAGTGGGCTAGACCCATGACTTGACTGTTACCAATAGACTATAACATAAAGGTGATGGGAAGTCATTTCTGTGATTAGGTTACAAAACACTGTGACTTCCATCTTGCTAGCAGACTCTCTCAGCTTATACACTTTGATGAAGCAAGCTGCCATGCTGGGGAGGTCCACAGGGTAAGGAACCAAAGCTTTCAGCCCAACAACCTGTGAGAAACTGAATCCTGGCAACAATCATCTGAGCTTAGAAGTGGACCCTTCCCCATCAAGACTTCAGATGGGCCAGTAGCCCTGGCTGATATCTTGATTGCAGTTTTGTGATAGCCCTTGAAGCAGAGGACCCAGCCCAGATTCCTGACTCACAATGTAAGTTTCAGATAATAAAAATGTGCTGTTTTAAGATGCCAGGTTTGGGGGTAATTTATTATGCAGCAATAGCTAACTAATACAGTTACAGCTTTTTGATATATTTTTCTATAACAACATGATATAGTAGACATGAAGCTGCCAACCCGGAGCTGGCCCCAGTAAACTCATAAACAAGGAGAATTTGCTGCTGGAGTTACTGCAACAACATAACCAGCCACTCCCCACCTGACATTTCTAGAAAGTTTTACCTAAATCATTAGAGAACTTTCCATCTTACCTGTTCCTCTCAGATTAGTTAAGAGTCTAAATTCTAATTCTAACCTTACAATAAACAGCAATGAATGAGCCCCGGAGTTGAATGAGTCTTGTACTTCTTTCCTTCCTTCACAACAAAATCTTCAGGCAAAAATGCCAGACATTTTTGACTTACAGATTCTTCTCTGTGTGTTATAAAGATGGTGACCGTATTCTTTAAACCAAAGATGTCTGGTCAAAAATATCCAAGTGTACTTTTGAGAACAATGAGGGGGAAACTGAAAACAGGGCAGTTCCAGGCCATCCACAACATAAAGAGCCACTTTTTATTATAGTATACTCCCCTCAAAGAGGTACTACTTGCCAAAATTTCAAAATATTAGCTCATTATTTAAAAACCAGAGTTTTATGTCAATGGTCATTTGCTTTTTTTGCTTTTTACTTATTTAATTTTGGGGAAGGCATTCTGCATTCCATTGATACCTCATCTTTACTTAATAAGCCCTAAGAAAAAGAAGCCGTCCAAACTGCTTTTCCACTTTAACAAATCAATGTCAGACTTCACTCAGTGACATCACGATAGTAGTGTCTTCAAGTATTCACCATCCTGCTTCAAGTGAGGACTGCCAACTTGGTTTTTGTGGCTAACTCAAGGCTTCGCTAATTATCAAAAGGGGCAGTATGAAGATTTTCCAAGTCCAAACAAAACTAATTTAATTCAATTTCCTGACATTCTTTTAGAAGAATAAGAAACAGCATCAAAGTATAACCCAAGGGTGACACGGCCACCAAGCCTTTGAAAATCACTGGTCTAAGCCAGAGATCAGCAAACTATGGCCTGCAGGCTAAATCCAGCCCACCATCTGTTTTTATAAATAAAGTTTTATTGAAACACAGCCTTGCCTATTTGTTCACATATCACCTATGGCTGCTTTTACGCTACAACAACACAGTTGAGAAGTTGTGGCAGAGACTACAAAGCCCACAAAGCCTAAAATATTTAGTATCTGGACCTTTAAGGAAAAAGTCAGCTGATGCATGCTCTAAAAAGTCATATGTCTGTTAAAAAAAATCTAAACTCAACTCTCAAAAGGATTCCGCCATTGTTAAGAATCCGAATCACAGAGATGGGGTAATAAGCAATTCACTTGCATCCTGGGCCACTGAACCTTCACAGCTAGATATGAGAAACAATATTTTTTTCTTCAAACTTAATGGCATTAAAGTCAAAACATTTCCGAAGAGAAAATAGAAAAACAAACCAAATGAGTGATGGCAACACTGAAGCAGCCCTTCTCTCTCTTGGCACACTCAGCTCTTCCCCCCGGTGAGCGTACCTCTCCGATGATGTCAGTCTGAGAGCCGGCATCGCAGAACTGTTGAGGTAAAGAATCGCCAAGCGCGCCTGGATTGTGAGGAAACTCTTGCAGAGGGTCAGTAAGAGAAAAGCTATTCTTGAAGCCATCGGTGAGCTTGGCCAGGCTCTGGAATAGAATGAAACAAGCCACTTGAAAAGCGATGGTAAGGCTTCTTTTCCCTCTAAAAGCACTCATTTCATTCTGGTTCCCGGTCAGCAGCTTGACTACTGGACAGCCGACCCACTCAAACTCCCATTCCCCTTAGATTGAAAAGAAATGTCTATCACTGTGTACACCTTTACTAAAATTCTCAGTGATTTAAACCAGACAGCAATTGAGTCTTCCTGGCAGCACAGGAATAAAATAGAGAACAACTGTGGTACCCCTTTTACTGTTTTTTAAACCTTCATGTTTCCTAAAGAAAAAAAATAAGCATTCCCTCCAAAAAAGCCAAACTCATACAAACAGAGAGCAGAATGAGGGTTGTCAGGGGCTGGGGGCTGGCAGAAATGGGGAGATGTTGGTGAAAGGGCACAAACTTCCAGTTACAAGATGAGTCCGTTGTGGAGACCTAACGTACAGCATGCCGACTATAGTTAACAATACTGTAGTGTACCTGAATGTCAGTCTCAGAGAGCAGATCTCCAAAGCCCTCACCCCCTCACCCCACAAAAGGTAAGTATGTGAGGTGATGGAGGTGTTAACTCACCTTACTGTGGTAGTCATTTCCCAATGTATACGTATATCAAATCATCACATTGTACACCTTAAATTTATACAATTTTGTCAATTACACCTCGGTAAAGCTAGGGGGAGGGTAGGAAGCATTTCCACTCAAAATGTTCTATCAATAAATGAGTCTGACAGACAGGAATGGTACCTTGAGATCTTTATACACCACACAGACGGTGAAAACAGCTCCCAGACAATGCTTATGTATTTTTATAACCTGATTTTTCAGTCATAATTCTACATGGTCAAAAGTCATCTCATATGGATGTTAGTTCGCCAAAAATTAGAGTTAAGTATGCATTGTTGCACATGAAACCTCTTTGGGTGAAAGTTAAAGAGAAATCAGATTTTCTAGGATTTTTTAAAAGGCTTTTGAATGTATTTTTCTTCAGCAGATATTTCTGCAGACACCAGAACGCCCAGGTGCAGTCTAACTCATGCAGCTGGCTCTGGATCTAGACCAAGGCGTCTCGGAATAGGCCAATACCGCTAAGTTTGTATAAGAAAGACAAGACAATTTATTTGATTTTACTAGAAGAGGCCATTGCCCATGCCTCTCTCTGGAGCTTCTCAGAGAAGATGCTGGGGTCTGAAGCTTCTTCCAGAAATTCTACCTCTAGCCTCCAAGATAGGGAACCTACTTGAGGCAAGTGGGTGGCTTGCCCCAGTTCTGCACACTCGGAAAGGCCAGGGCAGGGAGCTCGACCTCCTGGGACAAGTGTCCCCAAGCTGAAAATCACCTGGTTTACCCCTGGGGTTTGGCCTTGGACTAGACGGGTAACCTCCACAGAGCACCTTGTCCACACATGCAGAGGCCTCAGTAAATGGCAGCTGTTCTCCTTGCTACCAGCACTCAGAGAAAATCTAACGACTGGCCATTTACCTCTCATGACCTGGAGAGCGCATCTGAAAATAGATTTCTGGGTCCCACCTTCAGAGATTGTCCTGCAGTAGGCCTGGGGTGGGGCCCGTAAGCTGCAATTTAACGAGCACCATGGGGACAGCCGACCAGTCTCTCCGGTCCTTGACCTTAGGAAGCACCGCCGTGCAAGGCAGCTATTTGTGCACTGTCTCATTTGGCCTCTGAGTCTGAGCTTTGCTTCACAGGCTCTTCTATGTCTCACAGAATCTAGACAAATGCCCAGCAGGTGCTAGGTGCTCATGCAGTGTCCTGAGCCAAAAAGGAAGGCCATGAGAGAAACGACTGAATGCGTTCCAGCACCGAGCAAAAAGACCAGTACACCACTATATGCAAAAACCCAGCTTTTTCCCAAAATAACGCAAACTACAGGAGTTCAAGGGGCAAACAAAATAAAGCAATATAAAGCTACAATGATCCTAGCCATACAATTTCAATCTATCCACATGGTGGAATACCATGCAGCCCCATCAGGGACGGAAGCAGCTCTCTGTGTGCAGATATGGAAAGAGGCACAGGGTACTGACGTTATGTGAGGCAGCTGGTGCAGAAGAGGCACGTCCTAGCTGTCTGTGAGGGCGGCTGAACATGTGTTCTCACTTTCACGTGTCTGCACAAACACTGGAAGGCACGCAAGAACCTCATGAAAGGAGTTAGAGGAGGTGAGAGAACGGGGTGATAGCAAGCCTTCTTATCATAGACTTTTTGAAGTATTTTGATTATTGAACATTATGAATGTGTCACCCATTGTTGTGGCTTGAACCGTGTCCTCCAAAAAGATATGTCCAGGTCCCCCCCACCCCCCGGCCGCTGAATCTGTGAATGTGAGCTTATTTGGAAACAGAGTCTTTGCGGACAGAATTAAGTTAGGATGAAGTCATACTGGATTAGAGTGGGTTTGAATCCAATGATTGGTGTCCTTATAAGAGAAAATTTAGTCACAGAAACACAGGGAGAACACCATGTGACAACCAAGGCAGAGATTGGAGTGGCGCATCTACAAGCCAAGGAACGCCAAGGAGTGCCAGCAGCCCCCGAAGCTGGAAGAGACAAGGAAGGACCCTCCGCTAGAGCCTTCAGAGAGAGCACGGCCCTGCCAACACCCTGATTTCAGACTGCTGGCCTCCACACTCAGAGAACACACTTCTGCTGTTCTAAGCCACCTGGTTTGTGGCGCTTTGTTACGGCAGCCCCAGGAGACTAATACACATATCTTAAAATATTTATATACACATATGCACACACATATATACCTAAGAGATAGAATATATATACACATATAATATTGTATATACACGCAAGTCTTAAAAATATATATGAATTGCGTACATAATAAATGTATAATATATATAGTAAATACATATTTTTTCAAATTTTTAAATAAAAGAAAGACACGCAGGCAGGCAGACGAATGAACACAGGATCTGAACAGCATCCAGGCCACTTACTTGCATCAGGTCCCGTCTCTCCTTCTCGCCTGTACAAATGGCTTTCTTGATGCTCCGGAGCTCGCTCATTATAGCCTGTGCCTCATCTAGTTTATAGTTGGTATGGGCACTTGACATCTTACGATCAATCCTGGTTAAAGAGGAAAAATAAGAGTCATTCCGTGCGAGATGATAACATTCCATTAAACAACAATAAAAAAAACACAAAAGCTTCATAGAAAGGTGGGAAAGAGTTAAAAATAATGTTTTGGCAAAGAAAAATAAAGATCCCATAAAACCTTCCTTGCTTGTGGTAGACACAAAGAAATGAGGCTTGGCTGCTGGATGACTTCCTTTGCTCCAGGAGCATCCTATGCAGGTGAGGATGTTCAAGTCAGGATTCTTGTGGCCCCAACTAATGATTAGGCAACAACATTATTGGCTTGAGTAATTTCCAGAGATTTTAAACTCCCCTCTCTGACAGGAGGATCATGTCTTATTTGTTTATCCCCAGCATCTGGGTTAGTGGTCAAAAATAGCTATTAAATAAACACAAATGAGATCTGTGTGCAAGAATATATGGGAAACAGCAACAAGCAGTGAACTTTCAATAACGATGTCTTGCACCAAAGTTGGAAACTCTTGGTGGGGGGGAGTTGAAAATGCTTATGTCTCCTCTATCTCTTTCTTTATCTCATTTTGGTTCTAATTTACCACTCTCTCTCTCTCCTACTCACCTCCTCAATTCTTTTCTTCAATACAAATATCCACCCACCCTTCCTTCCTTCCAGCCAGCCCACCTTGTGCACACAAGGCCTGGTTCCAGGCGGTGGAGGCAGAGCACTGAGTAAGACAAGGCTTGGCTCCGGCCTTCCAAGAGCAGGTGGTCTCCTGCAGTGCGTCCCTTGTTGAGCCGTCCATATCTAAGTCTTGACTCTCGCGAGCCCTCGGGGCTAAAGAGGTTGGAATATTGTGGTCCAGAATGAACCCCTTCTCTGGAAAGCCATTAGCTTGCGTTTCTGGTTTCAGATCCACCATTACAGGGGTTCTGGTTCTAAACTGTTTCCCCCACGTCACCTGAAAATCTGGATCCTTAACGGCCAGCCAAAACTCTCTTATTTTCCATTCACAAAAGCATCCTGGCATGCTGGTGAGTGCGAGCGACACTCCAGCTCTACAGTCGGACCCTAGGCAAGTCATTTCACCTCTTTAAACCTCGGTTTGCTCATGTCTCAAATGGGGACACTAAAAATCCTTCTCCCATTTAAGAGAAAATGAAAGGAAAGGGCTTACTTGGCAGAGGCCTGGCACATAGTATTTGCATTGGTTATTATTATTATTATTTTCATCATGAAGATAATGCCAAATCTATTTACTCATGGGAGGAAAAGTAAATAATTCACAAGTCTGGTACTTTCTTATCGTTAACAAATTCCTGGCCCCATATGTCACAATTCACAGCAAAACTCAGCCCTGCAGGTGACCTGAGCTATCAGCACTCTTGGACTGAGAGAAGGACAAAGAGAACAAGCAGGAAACCGTTCCCCTCTTTGGAATGGGGCTCCCGGGCACCACAGCACTGCTGTGACGGCCATCAGCTATAGGGCAAACATTTATGAAAGCTGGTCCCGAGTCCTCTTCCATGGACAGTAGGTACAGGCACACTACAGGATGCCACACATTGAATGGTGACACCCCTAAATCCCAACACGGCCCGGCCATACATTTTTCCATTTTAGCTGTTCTATGGAGAACCAAGAGTCTCTAACACAAGGCAGAAATAAAAGGCCATCCATCTCACAGCACTACATCTGCCAAAGAAGTCCCAACTTTTCTTGCAGAGAAAAATCTACTTATTTATATAACGTTTCCTTGTATTCACCTCCTGATAAAAGGCTTTGCAATACGTCTCATTTAATGCCACAAACTACAACCCAAAGAGGCTGAGGAAGTCTGTAGAAAACGATTACATCATTTCCAAACAAAAAACCTGAGGCCAGAAAAGTCTGATTTCTCTGTTAACAGTCAATGACCAGCACCTCTGCTATCCGAGTTTACTGGCTCCCCCAGAATGAAAAATACAGCAAACAGAGCATCACCTGATACTGACACCATATAGAGAAGCAAAACTCTACTGCACTCAACAAAATTCTTTCAATTGCTTGAAGCTCAAGGCTAATCAAATCCCCACAGAAGTACAGCCACACACCCACTGTTGAGGCTGCAATGAGAGGCGCTAGCCATGTCAGCTCCAGCTTTATACTTTGGTGTTGTGATTTCCTGATGGCTTTTGGGAGGTATAAAGCCTAAGTGTGGCCATTAGCAAACCCAGGAAAACAGGCCCCAATTTCCATCAGGGACAGGGAGCAGCAGCCCTGTAATTCATCCCACCGGCGGACACTGCAGAGCGCCCAGGAGAACAGAAGCTCAACTGGGATGCCAGGGTCCTGGGCTCTGGCCTTGGCTTTCCCCAAGTGGCTCTGAGAACTCAAAGAAGAATGAAGAGTGGCCTAGAGCAGCTGTTGTCACTCTGTCCTGAGGGTGTCCTGCTGTGGTGAGCAGGAGCAGCTGAGGGTAGAGCCCACGTAGGGCTCGCGGACCCTCACCCCGGCTCCAGCAAGCACCTCCCCTTTGCTCTGCCTCAGATGCTCCGGTTCCACAGAAGATGTCATTCGCAGGGAAGGAAGGGGAAAAAGATTCCACTGTTAAGAAAGTGTCAAAGCTATTAGAAAGCATGACCTCAAAGTTCTAGGAATCCTAGAAATACTATTATTTAAAAATAATTATATATTATTGTAGAACACATAATTATAAAAAGATATTATTATATATTACATAAATGTAACTTTATATCAATATATTTTATATAAGTATATATTATTTGGTTATATTATACAAATAGTATATTAAAATAATTCAATATATCAAGCACCTACTAGGTGACAGGGTCTTGCTGCGTGCTGTAGTTTGTCACCTAACTTAATCCCCTCAACAGCTTTATGAGATAAGCATAACCTTCTCGGATTTTATAATGAAAAAACTGAGGCTCAGAGAAGTTAACTAAGTGGCCCGAGATGACAAGCTAAGATCTGGCAGAGCCAGGATTCAAACCCACATCTCCCAATTCTCAAGTTCGCTTTAGATCACCAGGTGCAGCCAGGCCCCTTGATAGCACAGGTTACCCCCACTCACAGTGGCCAATCTAGGGTCCTTTTGCTTTTATAAGGGCAAGCAACGTTTCACAGAATTCAAACCACTTCCATTTTTCAACTGTGATAAATCTTCATCTAACAAAAACTTCAACAGGAAACCTCTTCCTTCACACCTGCAAAATTCATTTATTTGAGAATTTTCTCCCTGTTTAAAAATTCCGTCCAGAACTTTGGTCAAATTCAGAGGATGTGCTCAATGATTTGGTATTTTTTTTTTAAATATCACTATTTTCCATTTCATAAAGAAAATCATAAAATCTGTGACTGCCAAAGAACTCTTTTTCTTTAATTTTAATTAAGAGCCCAAGACTGCTTATACATCTTGAATAAAATGACAGAAAACTGATAACTGCTCAACAAAAGGTGGTACTAACAAGGACACAAGTTATTATGCAGTGTGCTATGATCGGAATGTTTATGTCCCCCTAAAAGTCACATGCTGGAATCCTAATGCTCAGTGTGAGGTATTGAGAGGTGAGGCCTTTGGGAGGTGATCAGGTCAAGAGGGAGAAGCCCTAATGAATGGGATTAGTGCCCTTATAAAAAAGACCAAAGAGCTCTCCTGCCCTTTCCACCATGTGAGGTTACAGTGAGAAGATGGCCACTTAGGAACTGAGAAGCTGCTTCTCATCAAACACAGAACCTGACCATACTGGCACCCTGATCTTGGACTTTCAGCATCCAGCCTGTGAGAAATCAATTTCTGTTGTCTATAAGCCACCCAGTCTGTGGTATTTCGTTATAGCAGCCCAAATGGACTCAGACTCAGCATAAGAAAAAATCCAGTACTCAGACCACACAGTCTTTACTTTCACGCCTCAACAGTATGCAGCAGCTCTGGGGAGGTTACGTGACTTGCTCTGGGTCCCACAGCCAGTGAGAGGTACAGTGAGGTTCACACGGAGGCCCTTCCCACCAGCACTCATCCTCTTCATCACCAGGTTAGCAACACACTCAAAGTCAAGGCCTCCAAACTCGCGCTATGTCAAACCTGAAGGCCACCCATGCAGCCAGTCAAATGTCGTCCCAAAGTAAACTGGTGCTCTTTATGGTCTACTTTGGAAAGAAATGGTTAGAGAGAACAGGAGAAGGTACAGCTTCAAATGATGACCGCAGTACCATGGAGAAGGCATTCGAGAGATGTTTATTATCAACCTCTACCTCCTGTTGCCCTAAAGTGTCCATATTTGTGGTTCAGTTTAAGATGTCCAGATAATGGCACTGGCAAAAATAAACCCCAACGACTTCTTACGCCCACATCTTGAAGAAAAGGACTGCCAGGCCTCTAAAGATATTCCATGTTAATACCACATATTACAACCCAAAAGAATGAGAAGTTTTGTTACAGCTTCTACCTTTGACATCACCAGCTCTGGCAAGGGGCCTTGAATGAACCTCAAAAAACTTCCAGCAGGTTTCTATCAACAGCAGGTCCTGTGTAGAACACCAGACCTGTCCCACAACCAGGGACAATGCTCTTTTTGTTTCTGCCCCCATTTCTGTATGTTTTACTGTTATCTGAGTAGCACTGGGGTTTTCGCACGGGCTGTACCTTATGTGCTGTGCAATGTGTAGAAGAGAAGGAAATGCTATAGGACAATTAATAAGAAGGCAACTGGGCTGATTGACAGAGACTTCCCCGAGATCCTTGCAGCCCAGCCCTCGCCCAGAGGGTCCCAGTGTCCAAGAATGAAGTGAACCACGTGACGGCTCCCAGCAGGCAGGACAGGGACATCAGCCACTCTGCACAGCACCCGGGGCCCAGTCCATTCATTCCACTGAGCCCTGCCCTGTGGCCAGAACTGTCTGGGCCCTGAGGATCGAGCAGGGAACAAAGCAACGTCCTCGTCCTCGTGCGGCATTATGCTAGTCAAGGAGACAGACAACAAAAAACAAATCCTTAGGTCAGGCAGTGATGGCTGTTCTAAGGAAAACAAAG